TTTTTATTTATGGGAATTGCCAGCCACCCCTCATCAAGGAACAAGGAAGAGCAAGGCAGCATGTACTTGCCCCAGGGAAACACTGTGCTACTGACATATGGTAGCACTTTTATATCACGCACATTACAATGTTAGTGCGACGAACATTGAGAGCCATTCATATACCCCATGTTCTAAGCCCAGCGAGGAAAAAATTTATAATGCTTGGGGTCTCGAGCCCAGCACTTCACCGTTTTAAGACTATGAAACGTGTTGGTTTTGTAAATATATTTAAATAATACTCTAAGATTGTATTGTTATGTTTAAAAGTAAAATTAAAAATCTGTAGCCCAATTCTCTTTCTATTGCGATGGAATTGCTGAACTTTAACCTAAAAATGATAAAGTAAAATCGATATATTCCCGAGAAGCTACGCTAAGGATACTGCCTAAACCATTTGAGATGGTACAAAGCTTATACCACACCAATACATTTTTTTACACGTAGATCAAACACGTTGGAGGCACACAAAACCGGAAAATCAAAAAATGCCTATGTAAAAACTACAATGTTTGGATTAAAAAGCCTGACCTACCCCAACCACGCCGGATGCTTCATGTCACACTAAGGGTGCGAATTCCCATTAACAATGATGGTGCATAATGATCTGGCAATCCTGCAAGCATCAGTGTTCCCACCCATTCGTCGTTTATTTTGAAACTTATGTCTCGGAGTTTCTGAACGGTAACGATTATGGAATTTACGTATTGTTCTACGGAGTCACAATTTTTCAATTTTGTCGTAATCAATGTCTTCAGCAATCCAATCTTTCTGTTGAGACCGTTATCCTCAAAGGCTCTCATGAGGTTATTCCAGGTTTCCTTGGCAGTTTTCGCATTTTGCACATGCACATAGTTAATCGGATCAATCAGCAAAACGATCTTTCTTGTCTATATTTTCATCCTGGCCACCCTCGGTTACATAGTCCCACAGATCCTCCATCTCCAGGTAGGATTGAACAGCAAACTTGTTGAAGTTTTCACGACCGACGAGTTTTTCACACACTCGACCAAATAGCCCAACGTTTTTAAGGGCCCATAACCTGATGTTTGTTATGCTAATTGAAACACGCACTTGTGGAAAAAACACATAATATAATTTACGACTACGGTTGATACTACACATACACAACAACGAACCTAACTTAACCAAACAGTGTTACCAATTCACTCTAACAGTTCTTAATGGTAGAGAAAGTAGACCAAATTCCGGGGGACATTGGTTGTTTACTCAGAGTGTGAATTGCTCCCTTTCTTGAGCTCACCGTGAGCTCAATCAACACGGTGTTTGAGTGTAAAAATTACTGATTACAGGTTTGCCAACCCAACGAAACAATAACTATGGAGTTAAGAAACCCCGTGCTTGCTATACCATTCGGTATTGTTGGGTACATGCTAAGCCGGAAGTACAAATTCATAATTGTTATTATTCAAAAAAGAGCATTGGTGGTAAATGGCCCGAGAATCGTCGGAAAGGGCGCCCCGTTCCAGGAATTCAACACTGAGAAGGTCACAAGTCTAACGACTCAAGAAAATGTTTAAATATTATTTGATTTGAACATTGTCTTTGCTCTTCTTTTTGATATTTTCCTTTTGCCGCAGATTCGTCATTTGTCGGCAATGCTTGCTTCAACCGAATTTAGCTGTGAAACTTCTGCTACTTCGCCGTCCGATTTTGCATACTCAACTGGGCTTTTGTCCTCAATTTTATTTTATATACAAATATAATTTAAAAAAACAACACTTTATTGATTTCAACTTTTTATAATAATGGAACAAGAATTACGACTGATTACTCTTGTGTCTGTTATTATAAAAAGTTGAAATCAATAAAGTGTTGGTTTTTTTAAATTATATTTGTATATCAAATATAACAACTGGCGCAGTCGGTAGAATTAATTTCAATCTGATGGAATCCAGAGGCAAGATGCCTTGTGGTCAAATATTGACATTTTCTAAGTTGATCAAGAAAATAAGAAATGTTTGGAAGTGAGTATTTGTCGTCGATTGTGAGTTCGTTGAGTTTTCTGTAGTCAATAACTACTCTCCACTTTTGTTTTTCAGAATAATTCTAGTTTCTTTGGGAGAACCCATACGGGAAATGACAAAGGAGAAACTGAGGGTTTGATAATACCTTGTTCCAGCATTTTGTTTACTTGGGTTTTTACTTCGTTTTTATGTATCTGGGGGTATCGATAAGATTTTGTGAAAATGGGTCTAGAATTGTTTGTTTCAATTTGATGTTTAATTTCACTTGTGAAAGAAAGATTGTCACCTTCAAGATAAAATATCTATTCAAATTCGAGGCAAAGATTAGTAATCTGCTTTTTCTTCATAGTTTAAGTGTTCAGTTCGAAGGTGGTTTACAATGTTTTTCAATCGATTTTTGTTATTTGTGGGGTTTTCAAAATAATTGTAGTTTGAGTTGACTGAGAATTAAAAGGTTCAACTTCAATGTTGGAAAATTCAATTGATTTTGGAATTGTATTTCATATATGACTGATGTTAAAAATTTACTAACATGAACCAAAGCTTTACATGAACCAAAGCGTTAGGAATGTGAACTTTTTTAATTTCTTTTCTAGATAAAATAGCATCTGTACCAAATTGCATTTTAATTTGCAAATTTGTTCAGTTCAGCTTGAAATGTTTATTTTGTTTGAAATTAATTTCTTGGAAAGTTCTGGTTCTGAGGTTTGATTAATTTTGTGCAAAGGCATGGTTTTGCAATTCGTTATTAGTTGTTTGTTCTTTGGATCAAGTGTACATTGATAATTTTCCAGAAAATCAAGACCTAGAATTCCGTCAAAATCTATGTCTAAATTGTAAATGTAGACTTTTGGTCTGTTATGCCTTGAATTGTTACTTGTTCAGGAAAACGTTGTTTAAAGTTTTTGACAGTGTTTTTTTTTGGAACCGTCTCATAAAACAGAAACAGTTGTGCGCACTTCGCACCAGCTGCAGCCGTTTGCCGATTTAAAGGTTGTTTTTGGAACCATCTCATAAATCTGAAAAAGTGGTTCGCGTCAGCACAGAACCGATGCGGCATCGTCGAGCGCTCTCTGCAGTTGCAGCAGTTTCAGTAACCCTTTGTCAACGGAAAATAATGTTGTGTGTAGTTGCGCGTTGCCTTAATGATTGTGTATCACTTTTCACCAGCAAAAATTTGTTTAGTTGCTGCAATGATATAATTCAGCAATTTTAGTCTATAAGTATTTAGTTTTCTGACATTCTGCTATAAATCTTAAAAAAAGGGATTTTTCTCAAGAAACATAGCTTGGTAGTTAAATGCCCATTACCAGCAAACTAAGCAGAATGTGCACTTGCATATGAGCTATGAGCAAACTAAGAGTCTAAGGCATAAAATCCAACACAGTTGAAATATAAAATAACAAACGTTTTAGGCAGAATGTGCACCTGTATTTAAGCAAGCTGGCTATTTTTAAATATAAACTCAGTCGGAGATGTTATTTGAATAGTAATAAACGTTGTAAGGTCGACATAATTTTTTAAATTATTTTTCGGTGGTACCAAAATTAACTCGACTAATACTTCGTCCAGGTTTGCCAAACACATCATAAACGCGCGAAGAACTAGTATCAGCAAAATCAGTTAAAAGTATCTGCAAAAAAATATTCTTAAATGGCAATTCATTTTTAACTGAAAATGAGATTTTTAAACATTTTCGCATATAAACCGTATATTTTATTTAATCACTCTAGTTTTATTATTATCAGTTTTTTTGTTCTTTAAGTGTCATACCTCGAACCTATGTTTTGTTTTTGATTTTAGGATATTTTATTTTAAGTTTCCAATGTTAAGAATTAAGTTTTTATCATTAAAATTCATCATTATCATCATAATTCTGCATTTTTACTGAAAAATTTAAGAAGTAACATGTTCCTTTGGGAACCGCATTTTGAAACCTATTACCAAGGTGAAACTAGAGCGTTGTAACCCGTTATAGAAAAATAACCGTTTATCACAGCTCTACTTGTTTAGTAGAATCAATTAGCCTGTAGTAGATAACAAATTTATTATGACTTTATACTCTCCTCACCTTTTATACCCAGTTCCAATAAAACTGTTGTAATATACATTGAGCTAAACTGCTCTTATTCTGACAGAAGGTTTTACTATTTTTAAGTCTGATGGTGGAAGAGTTGGCAAGGTGGAAGTCGGCCTTAACGAAGCGAATTAATGACCTACAGAATGTAATCAAATCCATATTGAGTGATCACTATAAACTTCAAAAGCAGATGATGACCACATTTAGCAATTTGAAAGGTGTTTCGGAAACATACAACTCTACCAAAAGTTACAATTTAAAAACTGGCGATATTATGGAATTGGGATTCAGCATCCAGAATTTATCCGAAGAGGTTGCCGATATTATTGGTGTGGATCAAAAACTGAAAATTGTTGACGAAAAACTTGTAAATGCTTACTCCCCGACAGAAAAAGTAGCTTTAAAGGTAGGATACTTTAGGCAATTTGTTATACTATTTTACAAATTACAGGACGTTTCATCATTAAGTGCGACTATTTAAATTACATTATTTTATAGGTTTTAATTGCATTTTTTCGATTTCACAAGTTCTTGCGAAAACAGTTTTATTAGAATTTTGGCTTACATTAATAGTAATTTTTAGTGATGTTTATCCCTTCATTGCTTTGTCTGAGGGCAATGTCATTGAATGTAGAAATCAAGCACTTCTTGGTTTAATTTCTCTCACAGTTGTATTTTATGTTAATTAATTTCAACAAAAATACACGTTGTTACAATTACATTTCATTCAGAAACTTTTCATTCTTCAGCTTATGCATAATATTTTTGGGCGAAGCTACTTAATTTGTTTATGTTTTCATTTACATTTTTACAATTGGCATGATGATAGGATAAAAGAATCAAATAATAAATGGTTTTAGAGGAAACTATATGTTGAAAGGATTCTAAAACGTGACTCATTGTTAATATAAATATTGTACATACTTTCCTGACTGTGTTTCAATTCCAAATCAAAATTAATTCCTGGGTTTCAGTCATTTATTGTCTACATGGCATACATTTTTAATTAAATTAATTTTTTAATTTTAATTAAATTGAATTAATTAATTAAAAATGTATGCAAGGCTTAAAGTAGCAACAACGCTACACATAAAAACTGATGATGGTGAAAAAATACACCGAAACGTATTTTAATTGATAAATAGAGACAATAAATGACTGAAACCCAGGAATTAATTTTGATTTGGAATATAAATATTGGGATCAATAAGATTTTTAACATAATAAAAGTGTAAAATACAGCAAGCGCCCAAGTTGATTGAAACACCAATCAGATCGCATGACGCCACGCCCTCAGAAATAATCACCGCGTTTGTCCCGGGTCCCTTCAATTGTTGTGACTAGTGGTGGCAGTGTGACCAGATTTCCGTAATCCTTGTCGCCCCTGCCGAGCTCATTTGTCGCCCAA